TAAATTATTTCAAACGAACAAAATCTCATCCTAGAGCCTTTTAACTGTATATGTTGAATTTTTTTTTTTTTCATAATGACATAAGATATATTACCCAGTCAACAATTACCTCAATGTTTTAAATTAAAATAATCTGTGCCTTTGGTATGAATGCATATCTAGATAATAAGCTTATTAACATTAGCCAATGCATACAATCAGGGAATGATCAAAAGAACTATTGATTAAACACACACACACACACACACACACACACAATGGATTACTACTTTATCTGGTATCTCTCACTGGAATCCTGTATGGATTATCATAATCAGGTATTTATTATTTCAATTTATATGGCCACTTACTTTCCATGTGGCCAATAAAAAATTAAAAACAGCAAGAAACCAAAAAAAAAAAAAAACCCCATGCTGAAGATAGTTCATATCTTAATACAATTAATATAGGCTCACATAACTTCTTTACCCAGTGTCTGAGGGAAAATCAGGATTTCAGCCCCTTTTGAAAAACAGACAGGGTAAACATATCTAAAATAAGCCATTCAATCAGTAATGAAGAAATTTTAATTATATTCAGACTTGATCAACTAACATGATGTACAGCAGTGAGGGGATGGGGTAGGGGCAAATGATTATGATATCATGACACAAAATCAGTCCCTTTTATATACATATCATAACATCATATGCAAATACATCATAGGCAGAATTTGCATTATGATATCATATGCACATTTTGTAATTTTGATTGAAATCATGTCTTGCTGGGGACATCCAACTAGACATTATATTTATGGCATTCTTCTCCTTCATAAAATCATAAGAAATGACAGAATGATCATAATCAAAACTGGCAAGGTAGTCTGAAATACTGTGTGAACTTGTAAATTAAACTAATTTTCTTTGCTTCCTTAAAATATACTATGTGAAATCTTTAAAGCCCATCGAACTGACAAATTTTAAAAGAAACAAATTATCTATGCAGAAATAATACTTAAAATACTATCTATCTTTGAATACCATTTTAATCTATGTTCACTGTGATTTATTATATAATTCTGTCTTGTAGCAAACAGACAAAATTTAATTTTAGCTAAGTAAGAATTATACAACAGAAGTCTAATTTGGATATACTGTACACTCATTGTAATGATTTGGAATCAGTGTATTATTTAGACATATTTCAGTTTAACAAGCTGTGGACTTCAGTTGGCTCGGAAAGAGTTTGAAAATAATTTATCTTACCATTCTGACTAACTATTCCACTAATTAAATATTGTGTTTGATAATAAAATGCTGACAAAGTTCATTATAGAAAACTTAAATTAAAAATTCTTATAATTCTGGAAGTTTTAAATCATTAACTCAGAAGTATATATAAAACAAGTATTTTTCACATATTTTATGCATACTGATAGTTCTGTTTTAATATGAAAACAAACAGTAGCCTTTGAAGTAGAGAAAATAAGTAGAGAAAATAATCCCTTTTGATTAAGTGTGGACATAATTGTATGCTTAATTATGAATTATTTGGCACACTAGAAAATAATATGATTCTTTATGCAAATAGAAATATGTTATCTTTATCAATTGTTTTCTAAGAAGCAAAGAAAAATGCTTTGTGGTAGTTTTGTAAGCTGAGCAAAGAATAGTTTCAAAAATGTAGAATCTGTTCTAAGCATAAATAAATGAACAGATAATAAATGGATGAAATCAGTTTTATGAATTTAATCTGTAGAGAATCTAGAG